ATTCAATAGTAATATTACCACTCAAAATATTCCGGAAAAATATTGCAAGTCAAAATATTACGGATAATTAAAAATATATTACTTCGCAAAAATATTAGCCTGAAAAATTTGACAAGTCGAGACGTTACGATATCATTATATTATTTTTGAAAATATTAGAAATGAGTGGATTATATTGAGAGATTATATTTGAGAGGATGTTTTGAATTGTGATATTTTAATGGGTGACATTTGTCATGGTTCAGTGCAGAGATATCGGTCGATTATTTTTTCACCCAGTTTGATATTCCATCGTTATTTGAAAAGAAAACAAAATGGGGAAAAGCTGAATTCAAATTCTGGCCCATTTTCCAACTCCCGAGCGAAGCCGTTGCACCCCTCGACAGTTAGTCGCATTACATGGTGGAAAATAAATTGCTTTAAAAAAAAAAAAAATAAACGACACATGATTTAGATTCAAATTTATGCAGTCGTCAGGGCGCTGGTGCGCTCTCTTCTCATCTTTATCGCCAGTTCCTTTCTGTCTTTAGTGGAATGTATGTGTATGTGGTGTGTTGAGACACCATCAAGTAAAATGCCCCCAGCAATATCCCAGCCGCCATCACCAGTGTGGATATAACATCTTCCTCTCGGCTCTGTTTTTTTCATGCACCGTGTGAATTTGAATCTCTTTTTTCTCGGTCTCTACCCCCCATTTTTTTTCTCTCTCTCGCCCTTCAGTCCCTCGCAATACTTGAGTAATACGTATCAGGGGAGAAACGAATTTCTTCAACGGTGTTTGCAGAGTAGTGAGATTGAGAGGTTAGGTTCTTCACTCTTCTCCTGTCTCCGTATGGATGCACCTCGGTTGAGGTTTGTCTGTAATACTCTTCGGTTTGTTTGCCGATTCAACATTGAACACATGTGCGAAAGGGTATAACATGTATATGACCTATTGTACACTATCACACGGTATACCTTTGGCGAACCAACCACTGGATAATGGCAAATAAAACCGATTTCTACCGTTCACATTGGCTCTCTCACGTGTGGTAGCCTCCGGTAACAGTGGTGGGGGTAAAGTTTTTCCCACGATAGTTCAGAATATCACGCTCCATGTGTTGCACGTTTAAAAGTAAATATGACAGAGTGGAATCGTTATAACGGAAAATTGCAGGAAATTCAAGAAGAAGTGGAGGTCTACGCAAGAGAATTACCGAAGAAGGAATTTCTGCAATATTCTTGGAATCATTATCGGTTCTTTCTTCGTTTCCAGATGAGTCAGTGAGGGTTTCTCCGATCATTATTATTGTCCTCGTCTTGCAGCCAGATGACGCGCAAAATTTCATTCTCGCCGTACTCTTTTGATTGTGTCGGTGTTGTGAGGGAGATTGATTTCCAGGTCAGAAGGGCTCATGTGTTGGTCTCGTAATTGATCAATCCCGGATTGCAATAAAAATATTTTGTAGCCTTTCATATGAGATCGAAAAATGACGGATGGAAAAAAAAATCTGACCAACCGGCCTCAAGACAAATGAAAGGGTATTTTTTTTTTCTCTCAGAGTCCCTCAGAATTTCCGCTTTCCGCCCCGTTTCATATTTCCCCTCCTACTTGAGACAAATTCGTATCCAACTTTTCGTCGTACGCTCGACCAGATCCATATAAACCGCAAGTAGAAAGGTACCGGATACTTTTCCCCACAGCTCTGTGAACTTCATTCCACCAGAAACGAGCAGTGGAAAATGGTGAAAGACGCTTCTCACTGTAATTTGAATACCACCAACGACCAACTTTCTGCCTGAGGTCTTCCATGGTCTTCTATTCAGAGTTCCTTCAGTGGAAATTATCAAGTAGATACAGAGTCGTTGAGAGAATGAAAAAAGTAAAAAAAAAAAAAAATCAAATTGCCATTAGTGACTGGAAAAAGAAAACATCATGGAGCTTTCAGCAAAACTTTTGGAGTTTAAAGTTTTCACAGCGAAAGAGAGAAATTGAATATACAATTTATGTTCAAGGATATTCTTTGACACATGCATAATGCATGAGAGGTATATATTCAATATTTTGGTTACGATAATCACCTCGGGAAGGACAGCACCTCAAATTTCCGTGATAATTCAGCCCTGAGTAATCACAGCAACAATATTGGTTTAGTGGCTCACCGGAGGTGCATGAGACTCACCATTTCGAAGGACAATTATTCAGGAAAATCTGTCGCGATGGCCGTCCGATGCTGTGACATTGGCAATTTGTTAACCCTCGTCGCTTGACGTATATAAATATCTTTTTCTCGGTTACATAAATCAACCGAGGGACAGCGATTAATATATATAGTGAGCGTGGTAGACGTCAACTCAGCTGCTATAGATCCATTGACAAATTCAATGTGACAGATACCACGATATCATCAAGCGTTTATCGAGTGGTTTGACCCATTCAAATTATTTTCTCACCGTTATCATCGTCTCTCAGAGAATGATAATTCCAGGGGGTTTCTCATTCAGATAATCCTATTTGCTCAATATTTTCATAATACCGATGATCGATTAGAATACGGTATAATCGGCGAAGTTCTCGAGGGTTCCAGGTCTCCTCGGGGCTTACTCTGAAAGCTTCTTCGCAGTGAGCGACGGGATACGAAAACAATTTTCCTCGACATGGCTGTAGTGTAAAAAAAAATCTCTTGTCGCACTGCACAGCGGGGAAACATTAAAGAATAAGCCCTCTCAACCCGTGTTTGGTCACGACCAGATGTTATTTCCATCGTATTCGATTCAGGGTGAATCTCATGGGTATGCACTGAGTAAGAAACTGCTGCCGAAGATTACCACACGGTAGATAATGACACCTGGAGACACTATCACTGCTGCTACGATTATCTCGAAACTTCTACCAGAATTGATCCCCGGTGAATTAACCGTACATGATTTGACATGACTCTAAACACCCAATGGCATATCGATTCTCCATAAAGGTTAAGTCGTCCGATAAACTCAACCATGGCCAAATCACAAGCCGATTAATCGTGACACAGGTACAACAATTCCCTTGAAATACTGTCGCCTCTTTGGCTTCGTCCAAAATCCCGTTATACACAGATTATCCGAAAAATCATTGCGTTATAAACAAATGTTGAAGATTTATATTTTTTCTCAGTGCACGTTCTCCCGGTGTCTGTCCATTTGAAATCATTCCAGCTATTTGTAAAAATCAATTCCGCATAAATTTCTCGGAATCCCCATTTTGGACAGGCGCCATCAATTATGTAAATACATAAAAGAATTCACGTATGCATTTTGTCTCCCCTCAACCTCCCCTCCTCCTCCTCCCCCTTGTATCTGAATGCTCCTTGGATCGAGATTAATGTCTCCAAATAATGTAACTTTTTTTTTACCTCATGCATGTTCTGCATGCAGAGCGCCGGGAAAAAAAAAATACAAATACCCACATTTTTATCCGTTGGTAACCTCATTCCAAATTCCCATCGCGCGTTTCAATACGAGTTGAATAAAAATAGTCATTTTCTTTACTTCTTTCTGGGGAGGGAGGTGAAAAAAAATGGAAGAGCACGAGAAAAGCCAACATCGATATTTTGCTGGGGCTTTTTTTGATTCAAACCGGTAGAGCCAGTGGCAATAGACTGACCGAGCATTATTGAAACCATAGCCAACATCTTTGGCAGTCTCTCTATGCCGCTTCAATACCCCAAGTACAAACCCTATATTCCCGGAAACGTCTTCGACGACGTGGAACAGAAGGCCCCGAATCACTATATGTTCTTGATCCTCCACCTGTGAGAGAGTGGAGCTCCAACTCCTTTTTTTTCTTCCCTTCACAGATGGAGAGAGAGAAAGAAAAAAAAAATAGTGGATTTCTTCTCCGTGGACTCGAAACTTGCGGATTTTTACTTTTCTTTCGCCATTTTATTTTTCTTTATTCAGTCTATACTCTTTTCCAATCCCGCGAAATTGATGTCTACACATTGCGGAGAGGATATTGTATTGGATCTTGAGGCTGGTGGATGTCGTCAATCCTCAGTGTCACGTTGTCGTCTGAGAATATTGGAGATACAGGGCTGCATCAAATTCTTTGCTACTGATTTTTTTTCGCTCCCTCGGTGTTATAAAATTCCAAATCGACTAGCAGATGTTTAGAGGAAAAAATGGAGATTGGATGTCTGATTAGAGTAATATTGTGACCGAAATTCAACGCCAATTGTCTCCTCAATTGTGCACGTCTCGAGATGACACTGATTATATACAAAAGGTCTGGATAATTGAATCAACTTTGCCGTGTGGTAAAGCAACGGTGCATATCCGTGTCCCGTAAACACGTGAGAATACCAGAGAAGCGAGAGGAATTGCGCATGTTGAGTATTCGTCACTGTCTTTGAAATGTCGGTACATCTTGCGCTTGTTTCACAAACTGAATTTCATCATTGTCGAGAAACTTTAGTTAAAAGCAAGCGTCTGAGATTGAGAACGCCGTGGAGTGGAGATATAGTTATCCAAGTTTGTATATTCCACGATCAATCTAATTATTCTGCAAGGGATAGGGTGATTGTACCGCATAATTTTGAAATTGCAGATGATATCTTGCTAAATTGGTCCTGTATCCCGCGGTGTATACGAATGAAGAAAAATCAGCTCACATCAATTTTTTATTGCGCTGTATTTTTTATAACGGAAAAGAGACATACGTTGCAATGGTGATGTGCAAACCACGGGGGAATCAATATCGCATCGAGATTTTGTGGATGCACCGGAAAATGTCCCTGGAATCTCCGGAAAACACGCCCCGACGCTTTTCGCATGATATTTTGCATTCGTAATATGGATTTGAAGTAAAGTCACATCGAGATAAAAAGGCAGGACCGCTTGTTTTTTTTTTCAGATAGTCGAAGAGTCTTTTCGGCGGATATTAAAGATTCGTATCGTACCCGAATATGTTAGGTTTTTTAGGAGATCAATTTGTTCGTGTGAGTCCCTGCTGAAATATTTTTTTTTACTTCTTGTTGCAGAAAATGGGAATTTCCCATGGCGAGGACTTGCCCTACATCTTCGGTGCACCACTAGTCAACGGTTTCAATCACTTCCGCAAGAACTACACCAAACCCGAGATGATTATGTCAGAAAGCATGATCCAAGCCTTCGAGAACTTCATAAAAACCGGGTAAGTAGGAAAAGTCCGAGAAAAAGAAAGAAAATGGCATAAATAATATTCCACTCTTGCTATTCGTTTGCCACACTGAAAATTCTTGGGGATTAATACTTTTGGCAGGAGTCTCCCCTGTTCAAGAGTGTGAAGAGCCAAACAGACTCAATGCGAAAGAAATAAAAGCGAAAAATAAAGAAGAAGAGGTTAAAAAAAATGGTCAAGAGAAAGAGGAAACGAGGGAACTGGGTATGTGTGCAATTCAGAAAAAAAAGGGGTGGATGAAGAGTGACTCGGAATTTTCCATATTCATGAACGGTCGACGTGAGTACTCGAATTAAAAGCAAAAATATTTTCGAGGCCACCCACTGCGTAATAACTCCGTCGAGTTTATACTCGCGATATTTTTTATTTGCACATTTTTAGCCCCATTTTCTTTTTTTCCTCTGTTGAGATTTTTTTTTTTCAATTATTTGTCGAGTGGCCCTGATTGATTTAATTTTCCATTCTGCTGTATCCTTTTAACAACTGCTAATTGGAACTACAGCATGAAACATAAAACGAAATATTTAAAATTCAAAAATATTAGCGAATGAATTCACGTG